ATAATTCATGTTGGTAAAATTCATTGCCATGACTGTCCATTTTTGAGAATATGGTTAATCCGTTAGAAGTCATAAAGAGCAAACTGTCTGAGGTCACACAATTAGTTTGTTTGTTGATAGTCAGAGATATGCATTGGTTTCAAAATTTCTCTTAGCATTCGCAACTGTTGATTCATTCATAGCTAAATGGCCGTTTATTAGATTCATTTTCCCTGCACGTCATGATCTACAGCTCTGAACAAACCCGAGGAGCGACGTGCAAAAAAGTGCAAGTGTTCATTTCAGGATTATGTTTCGAGTAAATAGATTCGACAACGGGCTGGATTAAGAGATGTGGGTTCTACCTGGCATAACGCCCAAGTGATTATGAGTATGTCATACGGCTTCTTTGTGAGACAACCGGTTGACGCCAAAAACAACAAACTTGGCTTCGCCGAACAACCCACTTTGTTATCAAAAAATACGCTCAAATGATCCGACGGTCAAATTACTCGGATCTAGCTGTGGTTGCAGAAAGCGGAGAATTGAGAATACTGAAGAAACGCCGACTTGAGCACGCATCTCGGCACATGGAGGACAAACTGGATAATGAATGAATGATAAAAAGTTATCCATGTTGTGTCAAAGATGTTCATACTAATTTTATCTATAATTTTGTCATAACTATTTTTTCTATTGGCTCGTTTTGCGCTTTCTTCTGATCAGTGGAAGTAGGATTTGGTTTGTGTAAGGGTTCATTAGAAGATTCCAAAATGTTTTCACTCAATATCAGTCGCAGATCGAAGTATTCTGTTTCGTTTGGAACTACAGCCTTCTTTAGCAACGTAGCGGAATTGACGAATGTGCAAAAGATTTATTAAGAGGAAAGATCCAACTAGAATTAACTATGCACTGGTATTTAGAAAGTTATAATTCACGTGTAAGATGTGATTTTCTGCACTACGAAGCTTACTAGGATTACTGGATAGGAGTGTCCTTGCAAAAGAATTGAATTCACTGGATTGCCGTGCATTGGAGGCATTCGTGTGATGCGACATGCATGTTATTTGTACGACGTCAGTTATTTAAGGATTCTACATTAGTTTTTCACTCTTGAGCTAGTCATGTAGTACATATAGTGATGACTCCTCTGCATGTTAGCTCTCATTTTCTTATGTGCAGAACAGCCTCCACAGAGTCCATAACGGTTACCACTTTCTTACCTGATGATCGGAATTAAAAGAAGGCAATTAATTGTTGCCCTTCAAGTAGCTTGAATTATCCGATTGAGATTATCTGCATTTGATTGTTGCTTAAGTAGTTTTTATGACAAACATCTGAATGAGGTGCTTGTAGTTTTCCTTTCAGTGTATAGTTTCAGTCAAGTAAATTTGCATGTTCTTGAATTTTGCGAATATGATTTTACAAATTGGAAATTTCAAGTAAACGCCCTAGATTTCTGAAGGCTGTATGTTTAATCCTTTAAGTCATGCGCGAGTTTGAATTTTAAGCATCCGTCAGAAAAATGTTCATTTTCTGTTCATATGATGAACGCCGCTGTGCACTTCGTTTTCGCTGTAGCAGTTGCAGTCGAAGACCTAAGTTATTTCCGTGTGTTTTATGATATCAGTCGCAATCATTGGCTTCCTTCCGACCGATTGAGCGCCGGTCACTCCCAGTTTATCGAATGATTTTGCATTAGTAAGCAAGGAGATTGTGCTTACGCCGCTTCAATCCGGTATCAAAAACTAAAAGGGATTAAATATCTTAGCGGAGGTATCGATAACTACCAGTATGCTATTAAACCCGTAAGTTCGGCTTTCTTTGTATCGGTCTTTCCTGCTATTAATATTTGAGCAAGGTGGCCAAAAAACTTTATTTTTCCACGTACATGAAAATAGAAGCTTCTCTGGTGGCGATGAGATTGCTGTAGTCATCGCATCATTGATGGCTTACAACAATAGCAGATTAACCCAGATTTATTCTCTCTGACAGTTGGAAACGCTGCTTAAGTGAGGCTATGCATGTGGTTGAAAATGAGTAAAACAAGCAGCAAGACAAGTCGCTAGCAAACAAGTAGAATGTAAATGCAATGCAGAGTTTCATAATCAGTGTATGCAAGTAAATATATCGTCATCGCACAAAATATGTTTCTATCGTGGAGAAATTTGTTGACTTGATACCGTTGTATGATTCGGTATTCTTACATATTAAGGCTTGATGGTGTCGAAACGCACATTTTGTGACATTATCATGAAGAGGATGTTTGTTGTTATAAACGCTACTCTTCATGCAGGCCTAGTGGAGGTAAAGGAAGGAAAAAGAAAGTGTCCTCTTTGAAATGTTGGTTTTCCTTCTCTGTCATGTTTGAGTTATTTTGGGTCCCCTTTTCGTGAAGTTGATGACACGATTTTGATCTCTGTTTCTTTGTTGTCAGCCAGGAGTGCCTTATTTTTTAAAAGACAGGGTCTACAGCCGTGTGGTAAGCGTACCGATTAGTCAGTGTCTTTTTTCTTCCCACAGAATGGTGCTCATTTATCAACCTCAAAAGGAAGAAGGACGAATAACCCCCAATCGAGGCTTGAACTTTGACCTATCGATTCTGAGTTCAACGCTCTACCCCACTCGGAAACAGTATGCGGTAAATTCCTTGCTCAGGGGAATTGGTGAATAAGACATACTGATCTCGAGCGGAATCGACACTTCCGAAGTTCGAAGCAGACCTCGTAGATACTGTGCTACCACGCCACTACACTATGGAAGATTAACTACTGAACTGAATACTGAACGAGGTGCGACGCGACCCATCCGTTAGCGGTAAGGACGAAATTAGCATATGCAGCATTAATCCTTTCGTCTCTAAGGAAAGGAGATCAGATGTATGTATAGAACGGCCCAGGTATGTGACCTCGTAGCGTCCCTCGCCATTGTTCGGCTGCAACTATCCCAGCAACCGCGATCGCCCTTGCCAGTTAAGATTCACCGTCGTGTTTATGACGATCACTCTTGCCTTAATGTGAGCAAAGGAAATATTTTACGTACGTTTTTCAGACGCCCATGACTGAACCGCACATCGTCGCAGCTCCGAACGAGTACCGCCTCAATGCCCCTCCTGATGACGGCATAACAGCGGTGCATTTCCAACCAGAAGGTACGAAGTTGTTGATGCTCTCGTCTTGGGACGGCTCGGTGCGCCTTTACGAACTTAGCGGAACCTCCACCAACTACCTCCGTACGTCTTATACTCATCAGGGAGCTGTTTTGGAC